GCTGTGCTGCTCTCCACACACGCACGAAAACGCGATTTCTAGCGTTTGAATCGACGGCAGAAATCCTGAATCTCTTGACCCAAGAGGGCCCTAGTTTCAAAAAAAAAAAAACAAAGAAAGAGAAGGTGGCATTTTATTCAAAATCATGCATAATTCTTAGTCTCTGTTGTAATGTAAGATCAGAAGGTAGCGCACCCAATGGAAGGAGTTCAGTGTGGTGCAGTATGCTGGCAGACTGGTCTGTGAATCTGCTCAGGATCAGCTCCCTATAAATAGACACCCTGCAGCTTCTTCCCATACCGTGGGACTTTTCCCACAACATGCCCTGCTTGCCATCACCGGTTTTTGCTTGGATCTTGAACCTTCTTCCATCCCTGCAGTTCCCTTTCAGCGGGAGTGCAAGGAATTCAACATCTGAAAGTAAGGCTTCTCAGACAAAACCTTACTCGTGGCAGTAGAATCACAAGAATTCGTGAACGTATTTGCATGTGTAAAGGATTTTAGCATCAGACCTTTCATCTGTCAGCAGCTTGGGGCACAGAACTGTCATATTTGTATGGATGAAAAGCAATACATCTATCCCAAGCCTTGTGTATGATAACATTACAAATTACAGTTCCAGAGCTTCTTCCTATAAATTTTAAATCCAAAAATGACTGCTGTAATTACCTCACCCAGCCGCTGTGTTGCAAGACAGTGAGTTTTGCAGTTACTGCAAGACAGTGAGTTACTCCAGTAACCTAAACGTATTGCTAATTGCACATATTTTAGATAGGTGCTCAGACAGATGAGCTTAAAAGATCAGGGTAAAATTCTTGCTGTGGGCTTCAGTAAGGACAGGGTTTCATTCTCGATCTCTGTTCAGCATTCTCATACTGACTTATTGTTGGACCTCTTGGGGTTTTTTTTAGTTTGTTTTTTTTTGTTTTCCAGTTGTGAGGTCAGGATAACGTATCATTCTACTTTGAGAGAGCACTAAAAAGGTGAAACTACTGATGATCAACCATCATGGCAAATGCGCTTTGAAGTAGCTCTTTTTAAAAAATATCTAGCCCTGCCCACATTTTCACCACCCAAGCTCAGATGTGTGAGATCTGCATGATGTTAACTATGTCCAAAAGTAATGTTACTGTATAAACTCTTTTGGGTAGGTGTGTTATTTATACCAGGAAGACATGGCAATGCAGGTTTGGCTCTGAAAGTCCTGCAGCATCCCTTTCACATGGAGGGTGTTTCCTGGTTTGTGTTTGGTTTTTTTTTTTTTTATTTTTCTATCTATATCTCTGACTGCTTGTATTGTGCAATATGGCAATGCGCACCCCAGTCCATTGCAGTGATGTTTTTCTCTGGTTCTTTTCTCAGTCTCTCCACTCCTTCCAGGAATTTTGCACATTTTTTCCCAAAGTAGTTCAGAGCATGTAAATCGTGCCACAATATTAATTAGAATTGCTGAACTAATTGGGAAACATTACCAATCTGTTCAATGTTTGTTTCTTTCAAATAACAAAGGGTTTTTCAGTCAGAAAGATGCCTTACTTGCCAGTTTGCAGCACTAGAAACTATCATATTTTAAATTTTCTTTTGGGAAGTCTCATGAAGCCAGTAGATACTTTTCTGCCTACCATAACAAAAAAACAGTAATGGGCTTTTTAACTCTGTTGAGTTTGTGAAGCATTTTTTTTCAGGAGATGGAAATGATCATGTAATGAAACTCAACATACTCCTTTTAAGCAAGAAAATTTTGCATGTACAGTATAGGGGGAGCTTGAGGCCCAATTTTCCAATATCTTTATGAACTAGAGTTCATGGCACCATTTCAAAACCTCTCCTTTAAAGAAATGCTATATGAGAGGTTGAGGAGGGAGGAGGTTGTTTTGGGTTTTCTAAGTTGTAGTCTCTGTGGAAGTCCCTTCAAGATGGGAGATTTCTCACAAGCATTATGGAGGTTATAATTTGAGGAAAAAAGAGAGGCATCTTTCCCATTGCCAGTATGATTCATTTTACTGAAGTTCTATGACTAATAGCAAATTCCAGAGAGGTTGATTGCTCACAACTGAATCTGAATGGGGGGTGTTAGCTGTTCTGAACTGCCCAGAGCAGGACCGTACTCACTATTTACTTTATTAGAGAAGAATGTAACTATTCAGATATTTTTAAAAGATGCTGAGAGTTTATCCGACTTACAGGCAGTATTAGCAGTGCTGTAAGCACTGATAATGCTGTGATTTCCTGCTTCAGCTTTGTGTCACAACATTACATCAACTCGTTCTGGTTAATACTGCAAAGAATTTTTGGAAGATTCCAGATGAAATGTCCTAAAAATAGGACAGAGTTTACTGTTATCTTGATTCAGAATAGTTAATAGGGAGGAGTCACCTGAACTAGTTAAGCTTTATCTTATATCTTTTGTCTAACCTAGGTGACTTCTTTGTTTCTTCCATCTGGAAGAAAAAGCAACCCATGGCAGACTTCTTTTCCTCATTAATGTTTAATGGAACTCCCATCTGTACCTACACACATCTGTTAAACGTGGTCTTCAGTTTATGTACAGGATATTTTTAATATAACATTCAGGCCTTTAAGATGGAATTTCTTTTTCTTTTGATCTTGGATTTAGTTCAGACCTCTTTAGAAGTTGCAGTTCTCTCGTTCCTAGACATCTTCTTTGACTGATACGATATTTAATCCTCCGTCATCCCAGCCAAGCTATTGTGCATGATGAATTAAACATTCCTGAGATCAGAGAAATAACAATTACTCTGTTATTATAATCTCTTTAACTTATCATAAGTCTTGCATAGCTTAGATGGAAGAGACCAGTTAGATCATTGATTCCACACACTTCTTTAGAAGCAGAATACATGTGGACGGCTTGTATTTCAGCAAGAGACAGATCCCCCCACCTTGCACCCACCCATTGGAAGTGAAACTTGGCGAAACATCAGAGTCTTCTGTATGTTGGGGCCCCACCTTGGCCAGACAGATTACCTAGGTGACGTACTATGATTTTTTTTTGCCTTTTTCTGTCTTGAACTTGGAGAATGGTTTTCTGGTGGTATGTTTTGTCTTTTAAAATATCTGAGAATGTACCAATCAATACTTCCAATTAAAGTGAAGTTTAGACTTTCTGAAACTGAGCGCTGCTCTTCCACTGACAGAACAGACAAGGACAACACTACTGCTAGAATTAAAAGCCCAGCACTGGAGATAAAAGCCAAACCAAAGCTCTCCAGTGCCTGCCTTTCCTCTCTAGTGCACTGTGTATGTTTTACCAGAAAGCAATTATAATATGTGTGGCTGCTTTGGGAGCCACTAGTTTCACAGCAGAGCTGGTCTTGAAAGCCCTGCATAGTGATCACTTCTATTCCATGGCCCTGTGTGCTGGGTTTGCAGTTCCCACAACAAGAAGTTGGTAGTCTTTCTGGACCTCATCCAAAGTGAAGTCAGTGGGGAACTGTTTCAGTTGGCTGTAGATGAAGTAAAACATTATAAAATAATAAATGCAAGGGAGACTGTTCTGCCATGGCACACCTGCAAGGATAGCACCATGTAGATTAGTATCTTGCATTTATATAGCATTCTTTCCCATAAAATATTCAGATAATTTTTATAAATTATGAGCTCAGTGCTCGTAGCAAACTTGCATGTGTCCAGCTGGGATTCCAGAGGACTGATGTTTGTTCATGCAGATCCCTTCGGCAGGATCAGCTTCTGCACCTGTTCAAACTCACTGAACCCAGTTCTGAAGGGTGCCCATCTTTGTGGAATACGGTTGTTAGCAATTCATGGCAACACTGCATAGTCTCAGTGTCAGGCTGAGACTATCCTACCCAACTGAAACCACAGGGCATGCTTACGAAGAAAGATTTGTCTCTCTTTTAGAGTTTGCCCAGGAACCTATGGTTGATTTTTCCGTGAATCCTCTGCAAAAGATCACACCTTGAATGTAAAATGTGTGTGTGTATATATGTATATACATATACACACCTATAAAAAACATGAAAGGATGACATCTTGTGCAGCACTAGCCATCCTCATGCCAAGACATGCTGAGTACAGTTATAGACAAAAGAAGGTGGCTGCTCAGTCACCAGCACAATGCTTCCAGTCATTAATGCCTTTTCCCCAGCTGTCAGTCAGGTTAACTTGCAAAATTGGCTCACAGTGTTGATGTCACCCTTGCCAGCTGCAAACATGCTCCTCTTTTCCTTTTAGAGACTTCTCCAGGAGTTGCTGAGGTGACATTTGTGGAAAAGGAGCCAGCTGAACGCCACACAATCATTTCATGGGAGCAAGTGAGTATTTTCATAATACTGCAGTGAGGTCAGTCTGAATATACAGCAGCCCATGGAGCATGTCAAATGCAACAGCTACCTTGTGTTTCTGAGACAGCCTGTTACCAAGTTTGATGCACAGTGGAGACTAAACAGATGTTGGGCTTTTTTTGAATAAGGTATTACTCTGCCTTTTAGGCTATCGCATGCATCTGATCTGTTAAAGAAACTTCATCAATGTGGGTATATTCAAAATGACAACTCTAAGAAGAAATCACATAACTGTAGTAAGCAGCAACAGTGGTGACTCAGTGGAGAACAAACATTGTTCTGACTCAGGTCCTAAACCATTTTCCATCTCCCTCTCAAACAGAATGAAGAAGTTCTTTATTATTCATGACCATTAAAGGTAAAGGCCTCAAGCTGGAAAATACCTCTGAGTCACCCAGTTCATTCCAGTTATCCATTTCTCTTTTCAGTCTCAGCTATTCGCTTCCATTTCTCATAGCCCCTCCTTCCACCTCCTCTTTGGCTAACCAACCCAATCTTTTGGCCAAGGCATGTCCCACTGCCTGTTCTAGAAGACTATGAAGGACACATGCAACCTTCACTCCACATTAGCTGACCTCAGTGCATCAGACTGCGTGACCAGAGGGCTCCTGAATACTGTTGTGTGACTGGTGGGCAGAGATGGCATTTTTGGTCTCCTTTTTGAATATACATGTGTTTATCAATCCCAGGAGAATAACTGCTTTCTAGGTATCACTCATATGTAGGGAAGGGACAGTAGAAGCTAACTGGCCTTTGGAAAGGGGCATGGCAGAAGATGCAGTGGAGTGAATCATCCTTCCTCTGCTCCAACCCTGGCTATGCCTAACGCACATGCTCCCAGAGACTTCACTTGTTACCACAGCATAAAGTAACTTTCCCTTTGATGATGCATTGCCATTTACAGTTTTTCCTGAACAACAGGGAAAAATCCTGCACTAGTTTTTGGTAACGCCCTATCCCCGTTAGTGATATTTATCAAGAATTTATAAATTCAGGTCAGAATGTATGTGATATAAACCTGTGTTATTTACTGAAACTTGTACAGTAGCCAGCAACTGTGGCCAGGCAGAAAATTCCAGTTTTTCAGGTTCATGTGAACTGATTCCTGATTTCCTGTAGCTGCTGTTCAGGTGTCGAATTAACTGGGCTGGAAACTCTGAGGCACCCGAACAGCGACCCAGCTCAGGTCTGGGAGCAGCAGAGTAACGTTCACTTGTTCTTCTGTTGAGTGAGAGGACTGCTTCTCCTGAACACAGTACTGCTCTCACTTTCAGGTGCTGCTACTCTTCTGAACTAAATTGGGTTTGTTTCAAAATTGAGCTATTCTTGTAAAGCCAAACTTTGAAATGCTGTAGCCAAAGCACTTCACTCCAAAGATATCAAAACAATACTTCAGCTCACTCCCCACCCCAGTGATGGACTAAGTTAATTGTGGAAGTAAATGGTGAATATTAAGTAGATACAGTTGAGCTGGAATGCTAATGGTGAAGGACTTCGCTATCTATTTATTTGCTTTTGGTTCCAGTTGCATTGACAAATCCTGAAATCTCCGTTCTCAAATTAAAAGGTAACTGTTTTCTTTTTCCTTTTTTTTTTCCTTGAGCTTTGGGGATAAAGTCTGATACCTAACATAGTCCACACAATTGCAGTATGTCGTGCACTAATGATTAAGTGCAAAGCACTCAGCACCTCCAAGGCCCTTCCAGGATGAACATGTACCTCACTTTTGCTCAAACTCATCCTGCCTGAATATGAATACAAGTTTATGTGTACCCGGTGTTCACTTTTATGACTGGGTTGGGTTTTTTTCGTAGCCACTAGGTGGCAATACTTATGCAAGTAATCATTTCTCCATAGTGGAGATTTTACCAAGATCTTGTCACAGTCTTTATTTTTAGCTCCCCTCTACATCTTTGGTTATGAAAGTATTTTCAGGGCTTTTTGTAAAAAAAAGGGAAAACTGGTCGAACTATTCCCAAAATTACATCCTTTTTCCAAAAATACCCTCTCTTTTCATTGAGACTCACCAGATAAAAGCTCTATTCCTAAGACTGTTTTTTAATGTTTTTTTCTAGAAGCAATTTTTCCAGTCTGGTTTCGGTTTTGCAATGGAAAGGTATTTCTGCTGAGAGAAAGTCTATGGTATTTAGAAACTCTAAAAAGGAAATCAACCTTTTTTTAATTATGAATTATTAAAATAATATTCTAATATTGCTGGCAGTATGCTTTTTTTTTTGTCTCCAACAGCTGTGTTTGTTAAATTGGTCTGTGCCCAGTTTGTGCCAATATTTAACTGAAGACTACGATGGAAGTTTTAAAATCTTAGATCAGCTTGTTGAATGTCCATTAGCTGCCATGAGACTTTGCAGGGGAAGGTGAGCTTCATGACAGGAGACAGCGCAGTAAGACAGTAGGAGAGCAGAATTTATTTTTTTTCCCAAGGCTTTCTGTAGAGGCAGAAAGAGCTATTAAGTCTTACACTTCAGGAAATCAAACCTGAGGTCACTCCTGAATATTTGTTGGAAATCAGCACACTCACAAAAATATTTAAGGTATACGATTGTCAAGTGTTTACATTGGTAGCATTGTGTCCCCAAAACTTTCAAGCAGTTCAAAGTATTTTAATAAAAACAGATACATTTTTCACCTTTGCTGATATTTAGACCTACCAAGATGTTATCTTTTCCCCAAGAAAGTGCGACAAGCAATAGAAGGGGGAGTAGAGACAAAGTTACCAGATCACTGGAACTCCAGTATTAATAACTGTATATTGTCCTATGAACCCGTTCCCACTCCTAAAATTAGGCTGGCAGCTGCCCTGCTCCCCTCCATGTGCAGTTTTTAGAAATAGGTGTTATAATAAAATATTGCTAAGAGGCACTCTGGTATCTACCGTGACAGTGTCTGAACCTCATTTTCTTTTTGCCTCAACCAGCAGAGGAGTCAGCCCCTCACATAATTGTTTTCATTCTTAAAAAAGAGAAAATTGCATTCTGTTAGGGGGAGCTGGAGTTCCCAGAACTTAGCACCACAGGAGGCCAAGCAAAATGAAACATTTTGCCTGTTCCTCTAATTGGCTTGCTAGCAGTATCTGAACTGCCACTGACTGGCTGTAAGCGATCCCTGCCCATCACGTTGCTGGAGCTTTGATATTCTACCACTCTGCATGGGAAATTTGTTGTTTCTCCTTATGCACTTTGTCTACAAAGCTGTATTTTTCTGTAATAAAACCATAAAAAAGCCCTCAAGCAGTCTGATGCTTTCCTGTTGTGGACTGTCTTAGACTGCCAGACAGTTTAGAAACTCTCTCTGCGTGTAAATCTCACTGGGAACTGTGGTGGTAGTTCCTGACTATTCTAGAAGTCTTCCTTCTTCCTTCTACTGTATCTCTTTTTGATTCAAAAAGTTTGCATGCAGGCGTGTGCATCCACAAGAGTCCTTCTTGCCATCCTCCTTGTAATGTCCTCCCTCAGCATTAGGCAAGCCTGCCGTCTCTGATTCTCAGGATCAGAGGGTCTGCCCATCTTGAACCTGCCTTGGGGCCCTGACCATGGGAGAGGCAGGGAAGTAGATCCAGCATAAGGAAAGGTGTATTTCTTCAAGCTGCATAACAGGGGAGAGGCTGGAGGATTTGGGGAGGTAGATAGTGTTTCTGACGCAGTGTTCCCCTCTTGTGGGGCCTGATAATATTCTGATTAAAAAAACTGGCTACACAACACCGTCCTCAAGACAACTGCCAAAGGTGCAACAAGAACATCTCAATATGTTCCGTAAATTAACATCTGCATTCACTGGCAGCTAGGGCAGACCAGTCATGAAACGGTGTGATATTAGGGAGAAAGAAACGTGGCTGCTGATGTGCTCTGCTACTTGGAAGCCCTGAGAAGTGACATAAATCCTTTCCTTCTCTCCCCACAAGTTGGATAAAACTTGCTCATTTTTTTTGAGAAGTCTCTTTAGAGCTATATGTTTTGATTGCTGTCCATTTCTTTAGGATATTTGCTTGGGAGGCATTGTTTCAACAGTGCTTTAAGTGAATTGCCATATGTCAGTGTTTTGGTTCTGGATCCAGTGCTGATCAGGTCTTGGCAGCAAAACTACCCTGGTTCTAATATTCTCTATCCTCAATGGGCTGCGCTTTCTTGGGACACTGTTTGGGGATATGATGGATAATAAACAAAAGAAATAGACCTCACACACCATATTGGGCACTTGGGATATTTTGTTTTATGAGCTGATGAGTGTAACCAGATGACTGGAGTGAAAACAACTGCTTGCCAGGGCTGTGGTTAAGCCACTTCTGGCACATTAGTAGGAATATTGTATTTTATGGGGCTGGACATTACAACCCTGGAAGCTAACAGTTGAGCAGAAAGGGTACAGAGCTTGAGAAGCCATTTTTAATATATAGTAGCAACTTGTTGCTCTGACTCTACTGTCAGAAGACCACTCTTTTGACATCATAGGGTCATGTGGCTGAGCATAATATGACAGATCAATCAATCCTTTCCATTAGATGGGAGAGATGGGTCTTAGTGAAGCTTTTTATATAGAGGTCTTTTCCTATAGACCACAAATCTGCTCTGATACGGCATTTTCCACCCATGTATTTTGCACCATCATTTGGAAAGTGATGCAAAGGGACATGGTTAGGAGAATCCTAAAATAAAGAGGGGAGAGCAGCCATTTGGAGAAACATGCACTTGTTAATCTTTCCATCCAAAAAAGGAGAATTCAGAGCAGAAGGCCTATCCAGATATGATTTTTTCCTTGTTTTGATCAACTGTGGTTGTTAAATTGATCTGTGCCCGGTTTGTAGTAGTATTTAGCGGGATACTGTGGTGGAAGTTTTAAAATCTTAAATTTTGTCATCCAATGGATCTGGTTCTCCTGCTTAGAGGAGAACACCCACTGAAGTCAAGAGAGCTGTTCACATATGTATTTTTACTGCTGGTAATCTACTGCTGGTAGATTAGTTAAAATTGAGGGGTTTGAAATGGACTGAAAGTACTGTGTAAACATTTATACTCTTCTGAGCCTTTGTAGCAGGTCTGTCATATTTTCTTTTTTCATAGTTTTAAACCTAGTCACTGTGCTTACAACTACAGCTTGAAATTGGAAATGGGGAAAACACAGCATGAAATGACAAATATTTAGGACTGAGAGGAACCCACAGAAGAAGGTGTGTTTGTTAAAGGCATTTGAAGAACTTCAGATATGTCCATGTGGTTTAGTAATCTCCTAAAACTTACTACCAGGGCCTCAGCCATCCGCAGGTTCTTATCAAAGGATGTTAAATTCTTCTCAAAACAAAGTTTCTACAGTGTCAGATTCTCTGCTGTAATACATGTTACCTCTGAAGATTTTCCCTACTTGGGTTAGGAGAGCATTGTGCTAGTGACCAAGCCGCTGACAGGGCCGGTAAAGTGACCTGCCTATTGCAAGCCGCAATATCTGGGACTCATCAGTAGAAGTCTGTCACTGTAAATGGATATGCTTAGAAAGTACGTCAACACGCAGGAGTGAAGGTTGAGGGTGGGTTAGAGGGTCTTGCACAGCTTGTACGCTGCAGTTTAGGGGACAGGGACAGTAACAACTCAAAGAAAGTGACTGTGAGTAAGGCTTTAACAGGCAGAAGGGCTGCCCTGATCCTGGGGGAGGGAGGGGTTGTCAACAGGAGGAGGCTAGCACCATACCTTGCTCATGCCAGTCACTGATGACCAGAGACCAGCATTGCAGCTGGATGGACAGCTAGCAAGTAGGTCCTGCTGGATAGGCGCATCGAGACAACATCAGGACAGATAACGAGATATGCACAAGTTGCAGACATGGGAAAGAATCTGATCAGCATCTCTTGAGATGTTACAAAATCGTGCCCCAAGTGAAGCAGAGCTACCTGTGCAGCAGAACTGCATATGCATGTTTCTTTTCCTTAGCTGCTAGTTACCAGAATATTCTTCCTTTATTTTATAAGACTTTGAATTTTACATTTTCTAGTAGCTGTAGGGAAGTAATCCCAGCTGAGGCGCAATATTGGAAAGCTGTTAACATCTGTCTCCTTTGCTTTCTCCAAAGCAATTCTGTAACTGCTTTAAAACCCACCCAGGCCTTTGAGGCCAGGCTGTGACTATCTACCTGAATAACATCTCCATCTGTGGCAGGGTAAGCCTATATGAGGGGCAGCACTACTGACCTATAAATGTTCTCAAAGTTTGTAATTCTGTCTTTTCTTACTTTGAGTGTCAAGCTCACTGCACAGAGAGCAGGCCATGTCCAACAGCATATCTTTAAAAGTGTCTGAATGAAAGAAATAACACCTTTTTTAGACAAGGCTGAAAATTCTATCACAGAAATACTTGAATTATCAGACATGCTAGGTTGTAAAACTCACATTATTTGTTCATTTTCCCTTTAAAATGTAGCTCACAGAGTCCTGTGATTATAAACAGGTCATAGATCAATATTTTAAAGAAGTTCTCTGTCCTCCTGATTTAATGACAAAGCTTGACCCTCAAGGGGCTTATTTGTGTCTTTGTTCCTGAGCGGATTTAAAAACACATGGGACTGAAAAGGGAGAATTACTACAAGTTGCAACTTGGAGGTTCAGACTGCAATTAGGAAAAGTTTTTCACAAGGAGGATGGTGCAGCCCTTGGACAAGTCAACACAGAGATTGTGGAACCTGCATCATCAGAGACTATCCTGAGTTTTGGGATCTGATTCTTTTGGAGTCTTGGGTTTGACAATACTTTAAATGCAAACTCACTTCAATCTTTCTCAATCTGTTTTTTCTCTAAAACAATTACAAACAAAACAGATAACTAATTTAGTCATGTGTATTACTTGTCTTCTTAAAACTGACAGGCTTCTGTACTGTTTCATTTTGTGTTCTTGACACATGAACAGGAATGGGGGGTCACTGGTCTGCAGCCAGTCCTGTCATGAAGAGCAGTACCTGCAATGGCCTATAGCTCTTTGGGCTTCTTGTTGTTCTGAGGAGTAAGCTTTTATACTTCCTTCCTCATATTTGTGGCTTAGCTGAACAGTCTAAGTTAAGAAAGGCTCCTTCCACAGCCGAGATAGGTATAGAAGAAGGGTGCTACTTCTTAGAAGCACTTTCACCAGCTCACTGGAGTTGCTTCCTTCACTGTTCGCTGAGAAGGAGGCAGGCTTAGGCGCCCCAGCCAAGTGCTGAAGCTTGATGTGATGAAGCCAGACAGCAGGTTTGTGAGATTGACTCTTTGTGTGTTTGCACACATACTGTTTGTTCAGTGAAATGTCAGACCTTCTTGATTTCTGTGCAACTCTTGAGTCTATGCTTCTCTCACCTGCTTAGAGCTGAAATCCTTCAGAAGAAAAGAGTCCTTGCGCTAATATTAATATGTGCTTTAGTGTAACAGGTTTCGTCTGGTTTCAATTAAAACAAACCTCTACTTTTGTAAGCGATATATACGAAAAATATGATTGTTTTATATATATGATCTTGGAGTGACTGTTAGTGTCATCTCAGTTGGGGAACAATCCTGTAATAATCTTGTAATGACTGACTCCTCATTGTGAAATCTTCCCAAGTCATATTTGTTAATAGAGTAGCACAGTTCCGAGAAATGTGCAGTTCTTCTCTCAAAGGTTTTAGGATAAGATATTTGAGCTGATTTGAGTCATCTTGGAATTGGGCAAAACATTTGGTGGCAAGTATTTCTGTACCAATACTCAGTTATTCTTTGGGTTTGATGCATGTTCTGCATTTTCCCATAACACTTTGATTGTGATTTGCAGAAAAACTCCTGCGTATTGCCAGAGGATTTAAAGAATTTCTACCTGATGACCGATGGCTTCCAGATGACCTGGAGTGTGAAGACCGATGGTGAGTCCACATATTCCTCTCCACTGATACCCTCTTGTCATTGCAGCCAGTCTTTCTTCTGCAGAATCTTTTTAATTTCAGATTTACTTTCTGCACAGTACACGTCTGTCAGCATCCTGCATTAGTCTGAGCAAAAGCACATGCACCAAGTCATTTTGAATGAAAACTTAGCACTATTAGCACTAATTCGCAAAAAAATGAAGTAGTTTGTTTCTACTAGGCAGCTTGATCAGTGACTATGGAAAACTGACCTCTGAATTAGTAAGCGAGTGCAGTTCTGCATGGGATCGTAGACTATTTTAGGGATGTCCTTGTGAGGAAAAAAATATGACTGCACATCAGATGTCGCTTCCTGATGCAACAGGGCAAAGCCTATTGCTTGCATATGCTGGACTTCTGCAGAATAGGCAAGTATACTGAACATTGGCTAGAAACCAAACAAGTCTTCATGACATAAGTACCATTCTGTAATATACCAGCCATCTGTTGACACTCAGATTTAGATATATAATTTAAATCTCATGCCTAGACTCCCTCTGTAGTTCATAGAGAGAGAAGCAGCTCTAGCAGATTATCCTGTTATAAAGCAGTAGGAAGAGTCACCCTCTGATAATTCCTCTTTCTCATTAAAAGGTATATGTATGTGCCAGAGCCTGATTCTGCTTTCCATCAGCTGATATCCATTCACTGGACTTATTTCTGGAGTCAGTGGTGGAAGTGAGAACAGGACCAAACTTTATTGTCCATCCTTGTTCACAAAGAATCAAGCGGTTCATTCCCTCTGCACTGGAGCCCTGCAGCTATTATCCTGGCTCTTGTTGCCTTCAAGTGAGATCGTCAAATTGGGCTGTGGACACTGCTTGCTTCTGGAGATGAGTGTCAAATACAGGGTTTTCCTCAGGAAGTGGAATTTCATTTCAGAGACAGTTGACATCAGGGCTCTAGCACCTGCACTTTGTCCCATCATGTTTCAAGTGGGATTTAGTGTGTTGTGAACTCTGAAGAGTCTTGTTTTCAGGGCACACAAGTGCACAGAAACCAAGGCAGCTCATATAACTGTCTTGTTTGAGCAAGCATCCAGTAGTGCCTCCTGAGGCCCTTCACGCTGGCACATAGCTGAACACGGGGCTTGTCGACTTGATGTCTGGTAACAGTACTAGTCCTCAGAAGCAGAGACAAGTGACAAGTCCTCCAGCATTCATTCAGGAACACCCACATGTTGACACACTAATGAAATGCTGTGTTAGAGTGGGAACCAAGAAAATGCACCCTGAGCAGGTACATGGGGTGAAAGAGGATGAGCTGCCCAATAAGCTGTGAATGGGTGGAGTGGTTTCTGTTAGGACACACAGCAGTAGGGAAAAGAGTTTTGAGGAGGTGGCTGTAGCTAGCCAGGATTTTTAATAGCCAGTTTCATGGGACTGAGCTAACAGCTGCAACACAGACTTAGCCAGCAGTGTAATTCTCATACCTGCACAGCTCTGAGGTGGTGTTGCATCACCTGTAAGTGTGATTCTGTGTTTGAAAAAGCCTAATCTTTGCTCTTGTGGAGCCTGACTTGATTAAGTGTCCAGGCCTGCTGAGTATAGCCACCTCTTCTCCCACTCTGTGTTTTAGAAGAGGTTGAGTTGGTATGTGGAGGAGAAGAAATACCTGTTATGCTTTCCTGACACTGGATGTGATTAATGATTGGTCTTATTGCAGATGCCCCAATGCCTCTCGGCTCCATGGTGATTAATAGCATCTCAAAGCTATGTCGGCTTGGGGGTTCCTCTATGTACACTCTGCCTAATGCACCAGCTCTCGCTGACCTGGAAGATGACACAGATGAGGAAGGTAAGGTCCTGTTAACAGGCTGGAAAATGCGCTGTGCCTCATCCATTTTGCTCTGTTAAGGTAGTATTAGGATATAACACATAGATATGACATCAGAAAAGGTCACTCCAAGTAGATGGGGTTTTCTTTGTCTCCTGGACTGGATCTACTATATGTCCTATTACTCCCCTACAGCCTTGACAGGTCGATCTGTATGCTGTGAGTCTCATGGGGCTTGTTATTGCTACCAATCACCAGTACTATTTGCATCCTCTTTTAACAGCCTGGAAGCCCTCCTGTTCTGCCTTTTCCATATTTGAATTTTTAACTGAGGCTTCCTCCAGTGATTCAGCTTCTAAAGTCTTTGTGTGCTTATGGTGTTACATGAACAAAAGATAAGAGTTTTTGTCTTGGTAGGGAAAAGACAGGTGGATGTGCTCTTTGGAATTGGAAAAGTAACTCCAGTAAATACAGGTGGCACTGGAAAATGTGTGTTTCCAGACTGCCTAAAAATGCTGAACATCCTGCAATTTGGAGGGAAAAAGAAGGAAAAAAAGCCCACTCCTTTTCTCAGAGCTCTTACAGTCTAACAAGACTGGAAGAATTAAGAAAATAAGAACAGAACCAGATGTCATGCTGACTCCTTAAAAAATGGCAATTTGATTTCAGTGTTATCTCTGAATCTCTATAGCTCTTCTAGCTTCTAAATGTGGCTGAAAGTTTCTTTTTGCCTGTTCCAGCTTCTCTGCAGTCCTGATTTTCTAACCATTCTAATGAAATGGGCCAACTTCTGCTTCCATCTAGCCACTCAGACCTCTGTTAATGTACTTGTAAGGTGCACTGAGAAAAAGTTACGTGCCCACAAGAATTCTCATCCTGACTTTCATGGAACATTCTTCTGAAGAGTACAGCTCTTATGTCCCCCTTTTTCGCTAGCAGCTTTAAAGTTTAGAATTATATTCTGCAAGATCTTGCAGCTACATGATCCCAAAGTGGTCCTGTAGAAATGCTTTGTAGTGGTTGTGGGTCACAAGTTGAATATGAGTCAGACCATGTGGCTGTTGAGAAGGACGCTGATGTCACACTGGAATGTATGAAGAAATGTATATGTCTCCAAGTTCATCAAAGTCTTCTGTCAAGAGAAAAAGAATAAACTGTTCTCCCTGTCCTCCTTAGAAAAAAAGAAAGTAGGACGAAAAAGAGGTGATGAATACAACAGAAGTAATGGGCTTCAGTTGCAGCAAGGAAGATTCAGGATCCGCAGGAGGAAAATGTCTAAGTGATAATGATGGATTTGAGTTGACTGCCTGGAGATCGCAGCATCTCCAACGTTGGAGAGCTTTAAGAAAAGATTAGACAAACATGTCTCAGGAGCGACATCTGTAAAGCTGGTCTTGCTTTATGCCAGGGAGGGACTAGAGGGCAACTTGATGTCTTTTTTCAGTAGTTTGTTTTCCTACCAAAGATTAAAATTTTTCTCACTTTGTTTTTTTTTTTTAAACACAGGGAACTTAATCCTTTCCAAGAAGTATAAATATAATAGTTTGATTTAGTTCTTCCTCAGCTGGTTTATTAATAAGTAATGAATAGATTGACTCTTTGCAGCTGAGTCACAGTTGGTTTTCCAAACATGTTTTGTGAAGATTTTTTCTGTTTTCAGGTAATGGAGACAAACCAGAGAAGCCACACTTTGATTCTCGTAGTCTTATCTTTGAATTAGACCCATGCAATGGGAATGGGAAAGTTTGTCTTGTTTATAAGCACACTAAACCAGGTAAGACTGTAAAGAGCAAAGTTAGCCATCTCTTGTTGTGGATTGTATGTGGAGGCCACATGTGTAGAATCATGTTACATTTCTGATCTTCTCTGCAATTTGTAGATGAACATTTACTGGGTTGTCCTGTCTCCACTGAAGTCAAGGCTAAACCTTACAAAGACTTAATTAGAGCTAATGTTTTCCCTCTTTTTGATGTTGGAGTCTGAGTTATAACTTGTGACATCTGCATGCATAGAAATGGGAAAGCATTCACATATGAACTACAGACAATCATGTTGAAATAATACAGAGAGCAAGAGCTCAGCCACTAATGTATCTCTTGTTACTTACATGTCTTAGAACAATTCACTTACATTTTTATGAGAAAGGCTGTAACTCTTTTTAGAAGCAAAGGGTAAAAAAGCTGATTGACACAGTCTTAAGACTAGTTCTTCCACCTTCTGCATGGAGACAGAGCCTCCACATGCTAACTAGGTCAAAATTCGCAGGAAGGGTTGAACAGGAGAGTGAAAGATGTAAGCTGAGCTGTTTCTTCTGACAGATACACAGAAAACTTATCAGTCAGCGATTAGTGAAACAACCAAGTCACTTGCAAAGTAGTTGTCATCAGACACACTGCACAGGTCACTAGGTGTATGCGTATACATGTATGTTCACTGTGTGGGTATGTACAATTGTGATATACCTGTTCTTAAGAAAACTGTTTGGTTGTTATCTTGTGTCTTTCATTGGGTGTGACTACAACTCCCAAGGCAGAAACTTCTTACTTGTCCTCTTGCTTTCTGGTGTTAGCGATTTCAGCACATGCAGTGGATAACCTGTGCAAGGGGAGGGAGCGTTGTTTACAAGTGTAGATGTCAATGCAGGGGGCAGTGTGTTTAATTTACAAGATTCAGCATCTTAATTTCCCAAGTAAAATCACTTCTTTTTATGCTACAAAGGATGTCACCACGAGAGAAATACTTGATCACTGTGGAAAGATTTTGCAAAATATGTTTTTGTTGGCAGTACACGCTCCCATGACTTCCAGACTCTGGACTCTATTCAGTAATCCAGATGAATGACAATTAAGTTAGTTGCTTTTTACTTTGTGGGGTAGATAAATGTTTGCTATAATTGTACTTTGAGCTTATACTACGAAGTTGCTGATGTCCAAGCATGTTCCATGTAGCATATCAGTCACAGGTTGGGAAGGGATAGCATTGCATCCATTTTACGGTGGGGAAAGTAAGTATAATGGCTATTGCACAAGTATTTTTAGTAAGGCTGGGAGAAGAACCAGGTCATTTTCAGTCCCCATGCTCTAACCATTAAACCACATTGCCTCTGGATAATCATCTTTGTTAGTCAGGGATGCTGCATTTTAGAAGCTGCAGCCTTTCTGATAAGTATGTTGTGTCTCCCACCTGACAATGGCCAGGGGTTGATCTTATCACTGCAAATCAACAGTGTAATTTGTGTTTGTTTTGTTCTAGTTGTCTCCCCAGACACAGAGATATGGTTCCTGGACAGAGCTCTGTATTGGCATTTCCTCACCAAAACCTTCACAGCCTACTACCGCCTGCTCATTACCCACCTGGGTCTCCCACAGTGGCAGTACACCTTCACCAGCTATGGGGTCAGCCCTCAGGCCAAGGTAGGACAGCAGGATCCAGCTTGACAGTATTTTGCATAAGTATAGACTGGAAAAATATCTTCCTACCTTTTGACAGGCAGTCTGTAGGCTTAAGTGGGCCTCCCTGGTGAGCCATGGAAGGGCCCATGAGTCTTTCCCCTGTAACGTGTTAACAGTCATTTGTTTATGTTAGTGAATTCACTAACACTGTGTTAACCCACCCAAGTTGGGCTCTACCTTTGACCTCTTATAGCAGGTGGTGGAACCCCCAATTATTTCTTTGCTTTCTTGACTCTGAAGCAAGCCTCCACTTCCATGACTGCTGGCAAGTGAGGAGATGTAAGGCTGTTCATCCCCACAGCTATGTAAGATTTCTCTAGATCAGTTTTCTGGGCATAGCACTGAACAAGAGCCTACTGCTCTCTGGGTGAAGAGGAAAGTCCAGGTACACGTTAGACAGAAGCCCGGAGGAAGAGTATGAGTTTGAGCCTGGCCAAGAATATAAATTCCTTTGCATCCTCCTCAGTCATGAAGGTATACCTTGGTAAAAATTATGCCTAAAAATGCTAGCAGTCCTAGAAGTAGTTATAGGAGAGCTCCAGGTACAGCCTTGTGACAATTCCAGCCCCTTATTATTATTAAAATTGCTATTCTGCTCTGCCAGAACCCTACTATTAGAGGCTCCTACCATTCATCTCTGTTTGACTGGGCTTTTAGCCCTAACCCCGCTTCCGCCTTGTAAGAGGTCGGGGAATGGATCTGACGATACTTCCAAACACAGCACATAAGCCTGTGGAATGTTTGTGCGTGTTGGCAAGGCCTGTTGGGTCTCAGTGAGTGTCCTGCACTTCACCCAGACATGACAGCTGTCTTACCAGCATGGCGTTGCTTGGTCCTGCTTCAGCCTTGTGCGTACTTCTGAACTACTTACTAAAATCACTGCCAACTACCCATCTATCAATGGCTGTAGAATTTGTTCTTTGTATTTGTGGTGTCTTTCCTGTTACACTGTGCTCTACTTTATTGGTCAAGGCTGTGTACATGGTACTGTAGCAGACACCTGTGCTCTGCCTTTCTGTAATTTTCCTACTAGAATATTTTATTATGTTCAGTATGTTCACAAACCTTAGTGAAATCATTCATGTATTCCCTAATCATTTACAGCCTCTGTTAGTTAAAATCCCCCTAGTATGTCAACCATTACCATTTTTAAAGGTCTTCAGGGGTGGTATATTAAAGTTGTTTTCCATTAAGCGGTACATTAATAGATGGCCATCTACATTTTGGTATTGATCGTTTGTTTACCTTGTTCAACAGTTTGCTGATGATTTTAGTGGGATTTGTAATACCATAACCCCTACAGTTTTATTTCCTGACTTCATCAATGGAAAACTGATAGGAAAAACACTAAGAGATGAGAACTGCAGGGCATAACATTGTGGTGGCATCTGGAAATCAAAAAAATAATTGTTATGGTCACTTCTAGATGTAAAATCAGGCTGAAGAGAAACAAACAGGAATTCCTTTGTCTTAAAAAGTCTGCATTATTGTATGTGTGAAGAGGGGGAGGGAGGCTATATTTTGAGAATTTCAACTAGTTTCATTCCAACTTATAAGCACTTTTAAATTCCAAGGTTTTTTAATGTTTTCTGCTTATCTGAATCTAAATAAATGTGGTTTAGTTTCATCCCCACCCTCTGCTTTTCCTCCTGTGGTTTAAATCAGGAGTTGCTCCTGATAGGAGTTACATTGCAGGAAAGGTAGTGTTAGGTTTGTGTCTGGTTCTCCTCTTCCTTGTCTGGAATGTGGGGCAGTTCCAGGACTGTAGCTGTAATTGAGCCTTATGTATCCTTATCATAAGCACAATGTGCAGTCCTGTAAACTGCAAACTGATAAATTGTGTATGATTAAAATCAGATCTCAGGGGAGAGGGTGAACAAGGTGGAAATGTCTAATTGCAGTTCGATTTTTAACCTCTTCCTTCTTCACCATCCTGCCTTTCAGCAATGGTTTAACATGTATAAACCCATAACCATCAACACAGCTCTCCTCTCTGAAGAAGCTGATTCCTTTGTGAACAAGCTGGACCCCAATAAGGTATTTAAAAGCAAGAACAAAACTCCAGTGATCAAAAAGAAACCACCCTCCCAGCCAGCAGGCTCCCAAAAGAGTCATACAAGCATGACCTCCTCCAAGACATCCTCCCTAGCTGGGAATTCTTCAAGGAAGTGACCCCCAGATCTGACCCTAGACAGCATTTGCGGTAACCTTTGATGTTCTCTGATGCAGAGTCTCGTTGGTTCAGAACAAGTTCCTTGTGCATGGATAGATGTGCCCGTGGAAAATGCATTGCAGCATTTGCATGAAATATAGCCATGAGGTACTTTGATGGGGGAGGGTTGTAGTTCCTGGAGACTCTCAGAAAAAAACTCGAGACATTGATTTTATTCCTTTCTGCTACTTGCAACATGTACTTTTCAGAGGGCATGAAGAAGCCCTTGATGTCATTGCTCTATAGGGAAGCTTTTGTTCCTGTGCAACCACAGCAGTAAAATGAAAGCAAGTGTAAGTCACTGTTACTTTAATAGACCCATGCTGAAATATAGTGTATGAAGATATTTCTGCCTTCTCCTTTGAAAGAAACCTGTCCTGACCTTGCATGCTATGGGAGCAGGCTGGAACCTACTGAACAAAGAAATATCTTCTGCTTCAAACGGAACCAAACCCTGCACTTCCCTGTGCTCCTTCCAACTTCTGCTCTGAGATTCGTGGTACAAAGGGACCTGGGGCTTCCTTGTCTCTGCATTGACCACTTGCTCTACAGCCCAGACTATGTTCTGGCCTTTGTGCCACATTTTTTCAGATAGTGACATCTGTGTCATGTCCTTCCCAATAAACCTGAAGGCAGCCAGAAGCTGCAAGATCAGTCATTGCCTCTGCTTGCTTTCTTGTGGTAACTGCAGTCAGTGGTGTTAAGAGTCCCATAAACCAGGAGGACCCTGTGGTTTGTCACACATTCATTTGCAAAGTTGACCATTTAGACAGCCTTTGTCACTTTTCAGTTGAGCAGGATCTGACCAGGGGCCACTGAGATCCTCCAGCCTTAGAAGACCCCGATACTGTTTTCTGAACTGTAACTTTTCAGGTTACAACTGCACTGTAACTCATTCACTGCTGGTTTTCAATTACTACTGATTGTTTCCATTACTTTTCTATGCCATTCTGTCTTCTTAGATGTGCTGGAAACACATGGTAACCAACATATTTTGTACCTAAGCAGGGAAATAAAAGTCACCATCTTCAAATAAGCATTGATTACTTAAACAACATCATCTTTTATTTATGAAACAGTCACATAATTACATAAGACAAACCTACCTCACAGGGATGTTGTGAGGCTTTCACGAGTATTTGTATGGCCTTCAGAAAGACGAAGCCAACCTGTAAATGCTTAATAGTATTTTATTAAAGATTTGAATATTTTTCCTCCAGAGTAATTGGATATTTGTTTTGGGGAGCACATGCACAAGGATGTGCTCATGGTAAGAGCAGAGTCCAGGCTGAATTGTTTGAGGTTTTTTTTAAGGCAGTGGGTAATCTCTCACTGAGAAGGGATGGGTGGCAGTGTCATTTTGCTAATCCTGTCTTGAGCTACTCTGAAGTTCCCAGTTTAGTTCACATAGACCAAAAGACTCAGCTGTGTGGCAGCTGTTCCATTTCTGTCCTGTGCTCACTGTTCAAAATCTCTGCATCCATCAGCCCCAGCTGTGGCATGCTTTGCTGGCTTCCAGCACTGCCCAGGACCCACGCTCAAGTGCAGTTGCTGCATTGCCTGGCAGCTGTCCTCTGCCACCCCCAAATGAGAGGAAATCCTCTAATGATCTTCAGCCCTCTTAAGCCGATGCGCATCTTGTGCTGGGTGAAGATCTGCTGTAGCTGCTCTACTTAGATAAGTTCTCATGAGGAAGCAGAGATGTCAGTACCTACCACCCCACCCCATGCCGCAATAATACGTTAGTAGTCCTTTTAATAGTGAAATGTGAATGGTCATTAAAGGCAGTAAATACCATTTTCTGGAATTCTGTGCAGTAGTGATGTTCTGTCACTTACTACTCTCGGAGATCCTTGTGTTGTGTGTTCATGGTGCCTAGCCCGAAGACTGCAGTCTCGTGCTTGACATACGTAGCATACTTCTTTAAGCACTTTCCAGAGAAGTTAAGACTGTTACCACCCCCCTGGGAACAGACAGCTTCTGATACTGTTTTACTTTTAATCTGATGATACTTCAAACTTGTAAAGCTGTTGCAGGCCCATTTCCTCATTCAGATAGATATGACAGAATTCCTGCAGGAGCAGGGCAGCTTCTTCCCACATTTCTCCTGCATTCAGAGTGGAGAAAAGAGTTTGTTTTTTTTTTTTGTTGGAGCTTTTGGGGATGCTGCCACAGAAGTTGTCTGAATCCTTTCGCCTAGAGGTAGTTAAAGTCTAGCCTGTCAGTAACACATAGGTTCCAAGATGCCAACATGTTCCAGCAGAGCTGTGCCAGGATTCAGGAGACCTTGTAGTTTAGTTTAGTAATTTTCTAGTGCTTCCTGAATGTTCAGATCAAAAACCAAAACCAAGCATGGAAAAAAAAATAATCAGGTTCAGATTTCTACTTCAGACTGTCGTTGTTCTCTTCTCTGTGCTCTGCCAAACTAGGTGTTTGTTAGGGTGACCGGTGAGCAAATGGAAGCAAGCCTAGACCTCCTGATCCATCAGTGTAGCATCTGCCTCTTACCAAAGGATATTCAAAATTTCTTTAATTAATTAAGTTGTTTCGGCCACTGTTGGATCCTGAATTTTGATTTCTATGAACATACATTTGTCTGGAGTCTCGCAGCTCTGCTTTGCTTTTCTTCAGATTTTTTTGGGGGGATAGATTTTTACACAGGGAGATTGAATAATTTCATTGGGTCACAAACAGGTCTAGCCCTACCTGGGTCTGCCCAGAGTCTCAGAGACCCAGTTTGTCTGGTTAAGCAGAGTAGGTTTATTGAAGACTAGTCACCCATTTCTCCACCTGCAGGGCAGAGAAACAGTGTGGTCCGGCAACACCATTGCACATCCCCTTATCCACTTGGTTCCCCTTTGGCTGTCAGTCCATACATCAACATAGGCTTTGCTGTCAGGCCCTTTCCTCGGAGCATGTGGCCGTCACAGCGTAGAAGTCTCTACCACTGTCCGTCCTTTCTCATTTCCACTTTCTGGGACAGGTTGGTTGTGAAAATCAATGAAGAGTTTGTGGATTAAAACAGCAGCAAGACTTCCCAGAGTCGGAGCTGTGAGTGGGACCCACCACCAGTGATGTCCAGCCCTAAAACGAAACACAGAAGAGGCGGCCAGTGAGGCAGACAAACCGCCGCCCTGCCATCACATGGCACAGGGTGAGGTGAGCTGAGTCTGCTGGGGCAGGGGTGAGCTGTGTGAGGTGTCTAGTCCTGCTTCACATACTGGGCCCTACAACTGGCTTAGACAAGTTCTTTATCTATCAGCATAATTGTTGGAGGGAGGATCCTTTTCCCTGTCGGCCTGGGAAAGTGACTCGGCACTGTCTGCAGGTTTCTTGTTCTCTGACAGTGTGATCCTGATGAGTGTGACTGTCAGACAGACACACACACAAACACACACACACCCCTTTTCTCTTCACATTTGCAATAACATCTGCACCTCCTCTACCAAGCTCTCAAAGATATTTTCTGGAAATTTAATAAAAATGGGCAGCCGGGACAGGAGACTCTGCTAATGCCTGCACAATGCAAAAGTCATAGCACGGCACCATCTTACTAAATAGGGGAAGGCAGGGTTTCATCTCCAGATTCAGACATCTAAATTTAGGAGACCTGTTCAGCAATTGAACTGTAAGTACCTGCTTTCAGGTGAGACGAATCGCTCTCTGACTCTCCAGCCACTGCAATAACCAGCTAGATCTCCAGCTAACAGGTAGCCAGTTTGGTGCCCAAATTGGTGTATCTGAATGTCAAGAGGAATCCCATGCTGGAGAATTAGTGTATCCCAAATTTTGTGCACATAAAGCATGGGGATCCTCTATGCATAAGCCTTGCTCTTTGAAAATAGAGAACACATTCTGCAGCAATACTGTCACTTGGTCCAAAGAAAAAGGCTTCATGATCATTTTATCTTGGGCTTATCTCCTGTCCTTGCAATCTGAGCAGTGTAAAAGCAAAATGGGTCACTCACGTGAAGACCTCCATCCCCCAGCCAGCGATTGCCGTGAAGACCCTGGGGGGCAGGTCCCGGGAGGGGTTTATGGCATAGCCTGTGTTCATCCCCATCCCCAGGCCAATGCCCAGGACCAGGATACCCGTGAGCAGGGCCTGTGTGCCTTTCAGGGCTCCGTTGTTTTTCTCATCGTGGATGATTAGAATGCCCAGGACCAGCATCACTGTTGCCGTAAACTGCAGGAACAGGAAAGGGAGAACAGGTCAGGAGAGAGAATGGGGCAGACGGATCCTGCTCAGCAGACAGGAAGAGACTCCCCAGAATGGAAGAGCAGATGGGATTCATGATCTGATCAAGGCAGGAAGGACCTCAATGTTACTCCCTCCTCAGAGGTGGACTGAAGAAAATTCTTGACTCATTTCCTAGCAAAACATCCCCACTTCATCACCAAAAACACTCTAGGACTGATATGAACTTCTCAGCACTATGAACTGCTCTCACTCCACCTTTCAAATTAGGGACATGGGCTATTTTAAGTACATTTCGTCTAACAGAGGCAGGGCCATAACAGACCACTAACGAGACAAATCTGATCCTCCCTAGAGGGAGTGATGTTTTACATAGCCTGTTGCATTAGCCCTTTCAGGACTAAAAGGAGATACCAGGTTCTTATGTGGAAACTGAATCTCCTGTCTGTGACAACACATAGCTGGTATTTGGAGATCTGCAATGTCCAAGAGGTCAGGAACTTCAGTTTGAATAGAGGCGATGACTCCTGTCTCTTTCTGCTTCAGAAAATGCAGCTGGAGAGCCTTGGACTGCTTGCAGAGATGCCAGCAAAAGCAGAAACTCTGCAGCTCTTGGCAATGCATTGTCACTGTCATTTGCTTTCTTATGCAGCAAGGACAGTGCATGCCTCACAGGAGGCTGAGTGATCAGGTCCCCACCTGTAGGCTTTCCAGCCCTCGCCATCCTCCTCATCATGCCCAGAGAAGAGTTTTGTCAGCTCAGAGGCAAAAGCACAGGCTTCATCAGATTTCAATTGGAAGCGAATCTTCCTGCTCCGGTGTCCCAGTGCTCCATGTCCCCTGAAGCATCTCTTTCCTATTTCTGGG